ATTTTCTGTATTTGGATTTTTCCCCTTAAAAAGGGCATGCGTTGTTTTAGATTACTAAAATAACTAAAATTAAAAGTTTTGTTTATCTGTTAAATATAGTTAAACCAAAAGCCTTAATTGAATCAAGTAAAATATACTTAAAATATAATAATATAAATACATTTTTTTAAACAAAGTTTCTCCAAATAAAGTAAAAACTTTATTTTATTTTTATTTTTTTGAGATGGAGTCTCACTCTGTCGCCCAGGCTGGTTGGCATCTGGTAGTGCGATCTCGGCTCACTGCAACCTCCATATCCCAGGTTCAAGTGATTCTCCTGCCTCAGCCGCCCAGAGTAGCTGGGACTACAGGCACGCACCACCATGCCCGGCTAATTTTTATGTTTTTAGCAGAGATGGGTTCTCACCATGTTAGCCAGGCTGGTCTCCAACACCTGACCTCAAGTGATCCGCCCATCTTGGCCTCCGCCCAGCCAAAATAAAGTAAAAACTTTAATTATTGGGTTAAATTTGAATATGGAAAAGTCCCCACGTTGGAGATAGAGTACCAATTCTGTGGGCCTGCAGTTAAGATCAGAATTCAATCTAGCTTTCGAGAAAGAAAGGAAAAGCTTCTTTCATCCTTTACCAGTTTTCTAGCCGATCTAGGCAGATGTTGGGCGGACCTCCAATGCAGGCAATCTGTTGCCGCCTCTTCCAGTCAGCCAGCTCCTCGTCTGTGAGAGTTTTCTGCACGTACTCCATCGCTGACAAAAGCCCCGCCAGCTCACTCACGATGCTCTGGTTGGAAACCAAAACAAAGTCAGAAAACATTTCCTCAGACAGTCTCTAACCACATTCTTTAGTCAACTCCAGAGCAGGAACTTCTTAGAAACCAAGCAAGTTCTGCCACAAGATGCTGAAATCCCGCAAGTGAGCGAGACACATAGGGGAAGTGGTCCGACCGATGCCCTTACCCTCCGCATCTGGTCCAGCGCAGTGAGCATCTGTTCCAGCTGCTGCATCTTCTGCCTGGTCACTGACTGGTTGTTTCCATTCAGATCTTGCATGTCTGCGGAGGAAGGAAAAACTCCTTGACCTGAGGGAATACTCCTGTCCTTAATGACCAGGCTCCTTTGAGCACCCGTAACTCCCTTGCGCCCCGACCGCCTTAAGATCTAAGAGTTAAGACAAATGACTCTTTCAACTCAACAACACAAACTCACTTTCTAGAGATTTTAATGTCTCTAATATTCACTTGCCTCCTTGACTCTTGAGGGTTTTATAGTTGAAATCAAAGTCATCCTGGAGATTCTCTACCACTTTCATTTTCTGTTCTAGATCCTGTTTAAAATAAGTAAACAAAAAAACAGAAGTAAAAAAAGATTTCCTTGGGAACAGAAAAAATAACGTATCGGAGGAGAATTCAAATGAAGCCAAAACCTCAAAAAAGATACATGGAGGACTTGCAGGCAGTATCCCCAAGAGAAGGCTCCCTGGTGGCCAGGCGCAGTGGCTCACGCCTGTAATCCTAGCACTTTGAGAGGCTGAGTTGGGAGGATCACTTGAGCCCAGGAGTTTGAGATCAGCCTGGGCAACACAGGGAGACCCCCATCTCTACAAAATTTTGTTTTAAATTAGCTGGGCATGGTGGTGCACGCCTGCGGTCCCGGTTACTTGGGGGGATGAGGTAAGAGAACTGCTTGGGCCTGAGAGGTCAAGGCTGCAGTGAGCTGTGATCATGCCACTGCAGCCCAGCCTGAGCAGCAAAGCAAGACCTTGTCTCAAAAAAAATAAAAATAAAAAAAATTAATAAAAGCTCCACGCCCAAGGCTTGTAACTTGCATCACCTGTACTCTCTTCCGGACATCCTGAAGGTGCTGCTCCAGCATCTGCTGCTTCTCCGTCACCACAGCTGCTGTGGGGTGGTTGGCCTGGCCCCCTTGCTGCCAAAAAGGAGGTCAATGCACATGTGAACACAGAAATATGGTGAGAGGAATACCCCATATTTGGCTTGAGATGCTGCTGCCATCATGAGGGGAAGGGAAACAGAGGCAGTGGTGCTGTCACTATACAGGTGACACTACATAGGTCATACCATAAACCCCCTCTATGAACTGCACTAAGAGACCACATGTTCAGCTAAGATATGGTCTATGCCTTCGAAAAGCTTATGGGCAAGCATGTCAAAAAATTCAGAACAATTGATGACAGCAGATGTTGGACGTCTACTTAAACGTGGTGTCCAGTATATTTCTGAGGGATAATAAAAAAAAGTCCTGCCCTAGGGATGAAATTCCATATCAAAAGATATCTCAGGGAGAAGGGGAGGCTGGTACCTTGGAAAAGGTCAAATAGCACACGGAAAAAGAAAAAGAAGAAAGAAGGCCAGATGTAGCAGCTCATACCTATAATCTCAGCACTTGGGAAGGCTGAAGTGGCAGGATTGTTTGAGGCCAGGAATTCAAAACTAGCCTAGTCAACATAGTAAGGCCCCATCTCAAATGAATGAATGAATTAATTAAAGAAATAAAAAAAAATAGCATATGAAACTTAAAAATTACAGGTTTGTGGCTGGGCGCGGTGGCTCACGCCTGTAATCCCTGAACTTTGGGAGGCCGAGGCGGGCAGATCACGAGGTCAGGGGATCAAAACCATCCTGGCTAACACGGTGAAACC